TTACCGGAATATGCAGGCAGTGAGCTTTATGTTTCGTTATTTTGCAGTTTCTTAAGTTATCTTGCTTTTCTTGGGATGACTTTTTGTTATTAATTCTAGCTTCCTTGTTTATGATAATGATCTTTCTGTTTTTACATGTTTGTTCCTGATAAATTTAGGATATTGGAATTTGTCTAGAGAAAATATATTCTCTCATTCTGCTCGTAGCTCTTTTGCTATGCTTTTCCTTAGTCGTCTTTACTCTTGTATTTAGATACAGAAATTCATCACAACCATGATGTTATGAAGAGATAGACAGACTTTTTATGAGCTTATCCTGAGGCAGTTGGGTATATCCAAGTACCGTCTAGAGCAATCTCAGAATACCGGAAAGAGTTATGGTTCAGACGTTAGAGTCCATGCGGGGTGGTGGAGGTTCTATTAAAGTGGGAACAACTGGTACGATCAGTGCCCTCATGTCAAGAGAATTAGATTCAAAAACATCTGCTTCTCCAACACCTGTATCACATAGGTATAGGTCTCCTTCTGTTTGTTCATTCGCTGCTGGTGATGCGACCAGTCCTAAAAGAATGAAGCCAAGAACATCAATTGATGAAGTTAGCAGCAGTTGGGCATCTGAAGACAATAAAAATAGCCCTGAGATAATCAAGAAGGCAAAGCACTATAATTGTAAAACTCCTCAAAGGCCAATACTAGAAGCAGACAATTCTTCAGTAGATGGAACTCCTATTAGGCAGAAAACTGACAGAAAGGGACCGACCTTGGTGGAAATTGTGGACATAAAATGTGGCAGTGCGGAAAAAACATGGGCAACCCCTGTGAAGAGTCGCCTGAAGAAGCTTGGTTTCTCAAAGCTTTCTGAGAAACCAGCTTAGGTATGTAGCCTTTAGATTCCTATAAGTGAATCCAGAAATTGCTAGTGGGCGATTATATCCGCAACTTCTACCGCAGAAAACACACTGGTTATGAGCTTATTGCTCCCTTTCTTTTTCTTTTTGGGTTTTGTGGTCAATGAACCAAGCTTTTCTTTGGCGTAACTGCTAGCTGGAGGCACATCTGCAGGTTGCCAAGGTTTGCTAGAGATATCTGATATCTTGATGGCCTATTTCCAGCTTACTGAGGTACTCGATCTCTTGCAAGATGAGGGATCCGATTGTGCCTTTGCTCCATATTTCCGCTGGGCAATTTTTCATTTCCATCTTTTGTGCAACAGAGAAGCCTAAGACATTACATTTATTCTAGATCTTAGCTTGGTAGGAGGCAAGGTGATGACTCTGAGCCTGAAGTTGAAGAGAGGTCAGTAGGAGCTTGGATCCTGTTCTGATTCTTGTATTGCTCATTTTGGTTATGCCTAATTCATAGTTCTTTCATGTAACTTCTTTATTAATGAAGTGGAAACTTAGGTGATGGAAGATTGGGTGGCACTGGCAATCACTCTATTCATGTGTTTGTAGTAAAAAAACAATAAAGATGCTCAACTCTCGTGCCAGCTTCTAACTACTTGTGCATTCAGTTAAGCTCATTTCAACCAAGAATTGGTGATGATATTTTGTTTTTATTCCCTTAATCCCCCCCCCCTCCTTTTTGGGATAAAAAACTGTATGTTGTTGAGCTTTGGTTCAGGAATCAAAGCTGCCAAAATGTTTTTTAGTTAACGTCGGCTGTTACTTCTTTGATATTGGAGAAATTGGTCCACTCTAATTGTACAATCTTCAAAGAAATTTGATTTTGGGTTGATACTTGGTGGTTTCTTGTTTTTATTACCGTGATCATTTGAACTATTAATGAAGTCTTCACTAGAATCCCCTTTAAGTCGATACTTGAATGAAACTACATCTTGTGAAATCAAATATTTGAATATTTGATGATACATTTTGTACCTTCCTAAAAAATTGATCCTTGTTTACCAATCATACATTGTCTAATCAAAATCCAATTCTCTCTCAATATGTTCTTTGAAAATCTGATTCGGCTAGATTCTGAACGCAGAAAATCTTCCATTAGCAGACGATTGTGTTTTTCACGTATTTCATTACTCATGTTAATATTCTCACTTTTGATATCTCCAGGTCTTGTCATAACTTTGAACTGAACCACTTCAATAACCAACACCCCGACTCCTGTTCCTTAATGTATTTTCTTGTTGAATATAAAAAAAAAAACAAGGAGCTAAGGCTCTAGGTTTCTTGTTTTCCATCTTTTGTTATTGAACAGAAAGATAAAGGAATCTGGCTTACTAAGTTCAAATTATAGTGAGATTTAACAAGAAGTAGGCAATCATAAACTGCGACAGCCGAGTAAGGTTCTATATTGACGAATCCTCCGCCGCCAACAAGCATTGAACTCATTTGAGAGTCTCGCTCCAAATGTGTGAGTGCTCTTCCATTACATCCCACCAACCTCTCCCAAAAGAATAAAAAGAAGTGCATATCTCTTCTTATCTAAGAAATACTTGAGATCTCTATCTTCAGTTAGCTATTTAAATGAATAAAACAAATTTAGCTAAAACTCTTTTGTTTAATTTTGAATCCCGAGTCTAAATTTTCCCTCCAGAATTTATTGTTTGATATTAATGGACTAAATAAAAGAAGAAATGAAAAATGAAAAAGGCGATATGGACAAAAAAAGGTGGATAGGAAGCTCGACTGATTTACACAATATCAGAGCCAGGTTTCGATCCTGGGACCTGTGGGTTATGGGCCCACCACGCTTCCGCTGCGCCACTCTGATTATTGACACTTCAAATGCTTCATTTCCTTATAGATATAGCTAAGGATGGTGCCCCAATAAGTATTTATCTTGTCTATTATATTTGTTATTATATTATAGGTAGTAAATAATATGCTTTATTTTGCCTTTGGCATTTTCTTTTCATCTATCAATTACATTTCCCTAACTGTAAAAATCAGACAACTCCAACCTTTAAATAACAAAAAGTCAAAGGAAACTAGAGACCATCTATTTGCAGAATGTGAATATACGAAAGCAGTGATGCATAAGCTAATGAGCTGGACACAAAATCAAAGCATAGTAGCAGATAGCTGGGAGCAACATGTGCAGGAGGTGATCAAACGAGCTAAAGGCAAGTCAAAGGATACCCCAACTATTCAAGATGTTATATTTAGAATTAGTACATTATATATGGATAGAAAGAAACAGAAGGATTTTTGAGAAGACAAGTATAGGATGGGAGAGGATAGCCAAAGAGATCGCATTTGTTGTGTGCGAGCTCCTCCTAGAATAGCAGATATAGTTCAGAGACAGTTTTTAAAATAGGAAGCTAAGAAGAGAAAGAGTATACTATAAATATGATAGTTAGCTGTGTTAGATAACTATGGTACCTTGTATAGTTTGTAATATTGGTGATTAATAAAAAGTTAGTTACTAAGAAAAAGCAAAAAAAAAAAAAAAAAAAAAAAAAAAGGTCTCCCACTCGGAGAATATCAAAAGAAAAAACACGTATTCTGTGTCGTACACTTAGGCCTTGTTTGTCCATAAAACTATTTTTTTCAAAAATATATTTGTTCATGAAATTTTATAAGTTTTGAAAAAAATTCGAAAATGAATGTTTCACAAAAAAAAAATTAAAATAACTTTTTTCCTCACTCATAAAACTACAAAAAATATTCAAGTGAAATACATGTCCAAACCTACTTTTAAATTTCAAATACTATTTTTCAATTTAACTCCAAATATTACTTTTTTTCAAATATTATATCCAAACACCTACTTAATTCTTAAGCACTATTTTGTAGTAACTAGGTATGTTGCAGAATTATGAACGCTTCCTCCTAAATAACTTTCACATTGGAGAGGAAGTATTTATTGTCTCAAATCATCTACTATAATCCTCTTTCAATATGTATGAAATTTCAGAACATGACTAGTAAAACTAATAGTCGTAACGTTGAATTACTATGGTGATAATAATTTAGTCTAGCTCATAAACTTTCCATAACATTATTACTAGCAGGTTAAAAACTTCAACTCAATTTGCCAAAAAGGGACTGTATACAATCAAAATCGGGTTTTGCCCTTTGTGAGAGACTGATCAAGGATGGAGTTCGATAAGTCAGGATCGGCACCGATTTACGATGGGCCATAACACGGGGATAAATTGCTAAGCTCATGACTCGATGGCCAATCAAGATCGAGACCAGCCATGACCGAGATTGAAGCATGAAAGAGATTGAGACCAACCAAGATCGAGATTGAAGCAAGAAAGAGATCGACCGAGATCGAAGGAAGACTTTTAAGTCGGAGAACGGAAAGCCGAGATATCCGTGATAGGGCAAGGATCGTGGCGAAAATCTCGGCACGCATCAAGTTAGGATCGGTCCTTTAGCCAATCATGAGATTTCCTTCCATAGTTAGAATTGTACTATAAGTAGAATTCATCTATTATATAAAGGGGGTTCTAATCATTTTGTAATCATCATATATTCATGCATAACCAAGCAATATATTACATTTTTATCTCTTGAGAGCTCTCTTGTTCAGTCCATACTTTCCATAGCTTACTCAGTTGGTTCGAGGGCGATTAGCTCGAGGGCCACAGTTGTTCATCACATTGATTTGCTTTGTTTTACTGTTAATTCCTAATATTAATTCTCGTATTTATCAGTTTGTGCCAAGTGAAATCACATATTCTTAAAACCTGTTATCCAATTTCAAGGGTAAACAATTTGACGCCCACCGTGGTGCTAAGGATAATAATGATTGCCTGGTACAATTTTTATAACACACACTATTTTCCGTTTGTTCTGTTGGTGATAACCTAATTTCAAAAAAGAGATAGAGATGAAGTGACTAAATTTGAAACTTTGAAGTGTTATGTCCGAAATGTTCTATTAAGGTATTTGGTTTGTTGAAAACAAGACTAGACTTGGGTCTTGGGCTGTAAAGAAGAATTGGGCTCTATTTCATATTGGGCCTATATTCATTGGTTTCAAATATTGAAGCAGCTGAAGGCCTGCCTTTCTAGATAATTAGGATACAGCTGTAATGTACTATTCTACTATAAAGAATATAATTAGTTATAGCATAGTCAATAGTATAATGCCACTTGGCTTTTCTGTTTTACCTTAGATTCCTATTTTTGTATATATACATCAAACACTGATCATTCAATACACAGAAAGAAAATTTTCATACGTTGCTTTCTTCTTCAATTCTACATGGTAAAATCTATCACATAATCTTCATCATTTTCCTTTCTTCATTCACTCAGCAATGGGTTCTATTGAAACCCCTGATAATTCTTCTTCCACTACGCGAGTTACTGCACCTGCAGCTTCTCTCACAGCAGGAATTGTTGACTCAGCTCACCCCTATTACCTTCATCCCTTAGATTATCCAGGATGAACTTGGTTTCTTCAGTCTTTGATGGCAAAGGCTATGGAGGTTGGAGGAGAGCTGTTGTGATTGTTCTCTCTACTAAGAACAAACTAGGGTTCATTGATGGATCCCTAGTTGTCCCTGAGGCAGATTCCGGACTGCAAAAAGCTTGGGCTCGTAGCAATGATATGGTCCTATCTTGGCTGTTGAAATCCTTGTCAAAAGAAATAGCTGAAAGCGTACTCTATTCTCAGAGTGCAAAAGACTTGTGGAGTGACCTGGAGGACAGGTTTGGTCAGACAAATGGAGCAAAGCTGTTTCAATTGCAAAAGGAACTTAGTGATGTGGTGCAAGGGAACACAAGTGTGTCTACTTACTTCACTAAGATGAAAAACCTTTGGGATGAACTTGATGCACTTAATACATTCTCTGCTTGTGTGTGATTGTGAGTGTGGTGCTAAGGCTAAGTCACACAAAGCACATCAAGATGAAAGACTTCTCCAACTCCTAATGGGTCTAAATGACACTTTTATTGGGTAAGGAGCAACATACTCCTATCTTCCCCTTTACCATCTATAGGATAAGCTTATTCTCTAGTCATTCAAGATGAAAAACAAAGAGAAATTCATGCTACACCAGCTTATCGTAGGGATTCAGCTTCTTTTAATGTTAACAATCAGGCAGCAAACTTCAAAAGGTTTAAGGACAACAAAGGACACGAGGGTTTTACCAACACAAAGAAGGCTACTGGTATCTGTGCTTATTGTAAAAAGCCAGGTCATACCATTGATCAATGTTACAGAATTCATGGCTTCCCAACTGATTTCAAGTTCACAAATCAGAGAAATTTTCAAGGAAAAGGACAGGTGCAAGCAAACAATGTTTTCAACTCAAATGAAGAGGTTATGCAAACAGGAAATGCACTAGAAAATGTTCAGTCACTTACCCAAGAGAATGTGACAGAGTTGCTACAGCTTCTTCAACAAATGAAAATGGGACAGCAGAGTGCAAGTATTTCTGAGCCTTCGGCCAATGTCAACTGTGCTGGTATAACAAATTTTTTTGATTCTTATGCTTATTTCATTCAAATTAACAGAAATTCATGGATTTTAGACAGTGGAGCAACAGAGAATATGTGTTTTAATAGAGAATTCTTTATTAACTATAAAGCCTTGCCTAAACCTCTCATTGTTAAACTTCCAAATTCCTATAGAGTTAAGGTGACTCACTCTGGTTCAGTTTCTTTATTTCCTAATATGGTTTTACAAAATGTTTTGTATATACCAACTTTCAAATATAATCTGTTATCTGTCCATAAGTTGTGCAGGCAACTCCAGAAATTTGTCTTATTCACTCCTTATTCTTGTTTTCTTCTGCAAGGCCTTCACTGGAGAGCCCTATGGAGATTGGTAAAGAAGAGGGAAGGTTTTACATTCTCAGATCTAGCCATTCAGCAGCTGCTTCTAAGAGTCTATCTAAGTCTAGCAGTTTTTCAGTTTCAAAAAGGAATACACATTCCAATGTTGTTTTTAATTCCTGTTTTGTTTTTTCTGATCCTAATGTAAAGAAAAGTTATGGCACTACAGACTAGGCCATTTACCATTGAGAAATATGAAAAGGATTTCATCAGATTGTGTTTCATTTTGTTCCAATTTTTCTAGTCCCTGTGCTATTTGTCCTATGGCAAGACAGTCTAAGCTCCCATTCCCCACAAGTTCTATATCAACCAAGAATGCTTTTAAAATGATACATGTGGATACCTGAGGACCTTATAACACCCCTACTTATGATGGTTTCAACTATTTCCTCACAATTGTGGATGACTTTACCAGAGGTACTTGGACTTATTTATTAAGTACCAAATCTAATGCTTTCACAGTTCTAAAATCCTACTTAGCCATGGTAGAAAGGCAATTTCACACCAAAGTTCAAGTGGTTAGAACAGATAATGCTTTTGAGTTAGGGAGTGATAAAATACAATCAGAATTTTTTCTTTCCCAAGGAATTCTACACCAAACCACTTGTGTGCATACTCCACAATAAAATGGAGTTGTGGAGAGAAAACATAAGCATTTGTTAGAAACTTCTAGGGCTTTGTTATACCAATCACACTTACCTATTGCATATTGGGGGGATTGTTTACTCACTGCTACATATTTAATTAATAGGTTTCCTTCAAGGATCCTGCACTCTAAAACACCTTATGAGGTGCTCTTCAAAACTACCCCAAACTACTCAATGCTAAGGTGCTTTGGTTGCTTATGTTTTGCCTCTACCCCTTCACATAATAGAACAAAGTTTGCTCCTAGGGCTGTTGCTTGTGTCTTCCTAGGCTATCCACATGGAAAGAAAGGTTATAAACTGCTCAGTCTCAAATCAATGAGAACTTTCATCTCAATGGATGTTGTGTTTCACGAGGAATGTTTTCCCTTTGCCTCCATCAACTCTAATTCTTCTTTTGAACCTTCTTTGCCTACTGCTAAGTCCCACCCTTTTTATGTCCCTCCTCTAGAGTCTTCACCCATTCCTTCCTCTTCAAATGATTCCAGTACACCACTCACCTCACCAGATTCTACTCTTCCTAATGTCTCACCTACTTCATCTCTTACCTCTATCACACCTATTTCCCCTCACTATACCTCAAGCTACTCACCTCTCTCACATAGTCCCGCCCCTTTATTTCCTTTCCCTGGAACTCAACCTATCTTAGACAATCTTATCAAAAAGTCTTCCAGGCCACATATCACTCCTGCCTACCTCAAGGATTACATTTGCAATGCCCTCCAGCTCACAAATGTGAGCAGATCCTGTTTCCTCACTCCTGTAACAACTCCTTCTGTTTCCTTCAGTAGTCTTTCTTCTACTAACCAACATATGCCCAACTCTGTCTAATCTACATGAACCTGTTAGTTTTACACAGGCAGCTCATCATCCAGGGTGGCAGGAAGCTATGGCAAAAGAGATTGAGGCCCTTGAGCTAAACAAGACATGGGATGTGGTGGAATTACCACCAGGAAAGAAGGTTTTACCTTGTAAATGGGTATATAAAGTAAAACAGCACTCTGATGGTTATGTGGAGAGATTGAAAGCTAGATTAGTGATGAGGGGTGATGTTCAAAGAGAAGGCATCGATTTTAATGAAACATATTCCCCTGTGGTTTATATGACCACAATAAGGTGCATATTAGCTACAGTTGTTAAAAAGGGATGGGGTCTCTATCAATTGGACGTCAATAATGCTTTCTTCATGGAGACTTAAATGAAGAAGTCTACATGAAATTTCCAGTAGGTATCACACCTCCTTCTCCTATTCATGTATGCAAACTAAAGAAATCCCTCTATGGACTTCGACAGGCATCTCGTCAATGCTATGCCAAACTTACTACAGCCCTAAGTTTTAAAGGTTTCACTCACTCTCTAAACGACTAGTCATTATTCTTCAAGAAGACAGGTTCCTCTATCTCTATAGTCACAATCTATGTAGATGATATTCTATTAACTGGAAATGATGATACAGAACTACATGCATTAAAGGAATTTCTCCATCAAGAATTCAGAATTAAGGATCTTGGATTCTTACATTTTTTTCTTGGCATGGAGGTCATTCGAGAACCTCAAGGATTGATTCTTTCACAGCGGAAATTCACCCTCGATTTGTTGCACGATTTGAATCCTTGCATTTATCTCCTGCCTCCTCACCTCTTGACTCTTCCATCAAATTGTTTGCCAAAACAGGGGAGCCTGTAAAAGACCCAACCATATATCGCCATCTTCTGGGTAAGCTTAACTACCTTACCCACACCAGACCCGACCTCTCCTTCACCGTCCAACATCTTAGTCAGTACATGCAAGACCCTCGCCAACCACATCTTGATGCTGCTCATAGAGTCCTCCGTTATCTTTTAAAAGATCCTAGTCTTGGTCTTTTTATGTCTGCCTCACCTTCATTTCAGCTTCTTGCCTTTTGTGACTCCGATTGGGGGACCTGCCCTAAATCCCGTCGCTCAGTCAGTGGTTTTTATATCTCCTTGGGTTCTTCTCCAATTTCTTGGAAATCAAAGAAGCAAACCTCTATATCTCTTAGTTCAGCAGAGGCAGAATACCGTTCCATGCATCGCGTTGTGGCTGAACTTACTTGGTTGGTTCGCCTCTTTGAAAATTTGTCCATCCCTACCTGTTCCTCTTCATTCCGATAGTCAAGCCGCACTTCATATCGCCAAAAACCCCGTGTTCCATGAGCAAACCAAGCATGTGGAAATCGATTGTCACTTTGTGCGACAACAATTTCTTGCTGGTCTTATCTCTCTTTCCTTTATCCGATCTGATGCTCAGCTTGCCGATCTATTCACCAAACCTCTCACAGGTCCTACTCATTGGAATCTTTTGGGCAAGTTGGGGGTTCGTACCTCCCCCTCCAACTTGGGGGGGGGGGGGGGGGGGGGGGGGGGGGGGTGTTGGTGATAACCTAATTTCAGAGAAGAGATAGAGATGAAGTGACTAAGTTTGAGACTTTGAAGTGTTATGTTCGAAATGTTCTATTAAGGCATTTGGTTTGTTGAAAACAAGACTAGACTTGGGTCTTGTGCTGTAAAGAAGAATTGGGCTCTATTTTCATATTAGGCCTATATTCATTGGTTTCAAATATTGAAGCAGTTGAAGGCCTGCCTTTCTAGATAATTAGGATACACCTGTATTGTACTATTCTACTGTAAAGAATATAATTAGTTATAGCATAGTCAATAGTATAATGCCACTTGGCTTTTTTGTTTTACCTTAGATTCCAATTTTTTGTATATATACATCAAACACTGTACATCAGATCATTCAATACACAGAAAGAAAATTTTCATACGTTGCTTTTTTCTTCGATTCCAGGATCAACATGTTAAACTCTCAGGTAGCACTCAAACACAGAGACAATGGCCTTGGTCTTCATGGCGAGAACGACAACGTAGTCGCCTCAGGAAATGGAGTACCTCCGGTCAACCCTGATGGAGTCCCACCCGTGGACCCAATCGATGTCAGCTCCCATATTGCCATTAATGGGAATTTGGCCATCAATCCTGAAAATAACGTCCGCAGAGATGTTCGAATAGCCGATCAGAATGTACAGGGCGGTGAAGAAGGAGAGATTAGCCTTCAAATGATATTCGAAATGTTGCAGACTCAACAAGTTGCAATACTGCAACTCCAAAATCAGAACCATGCACCAAGCAGGATCGAGCTCGATCATCACAAGAAATTATCCATAGAGCCGAATCGGTGTTGTCACACCTCCTTTTTCGCCCGCGCCCCCGCTAAGGGGCGTAAAGGGAGTTTTTCCAATTAAAGGACAATCGAAACGGGATTTTATTTAAATATTCAGAGTCGCCACTTGGGAGATTTGTGGTGTCACAAGTCACCGGTTGAATCCCGAATCGAGGAAAAGAATGACTCTGTTTAACAGTCTGCGCACCAGAAATCCGGATAAGGAATTTTGTTAACCCGGGAGAAGGTGTTAGGCATTCCCGAGTTCCGTGGTTCTAGCACGGTCGCTCAACTGTCATATTCGGCTTGATTATCTGATTTTATACAATTATAACCTATGTGCAAATTTTAACTGTTTACCACTTTTGTTATTATTTATTCAAAGAATTGCAATATCGTGAGAATGTATCTCGAATTGCGCCACATAAATGTACCCGCAATTTTCGTTACTTTCCAACTTCGTTGAGATTTGGATTTGGGTCACATAAATGTGCACCCGAATTTAGGAAGATAACATTATTAAATACGCGCCTAAAGATACTAACGCGTTGTTATTTTGAGAAAAGCCGTAAAGTTCGCTATGCGGCCTGTCTCGAAATCTAAGCATTTTAAATAACTGTCCTTTGAAGGCCCCGCAGTTTGTGTATTATTGTTTGTCGAGGCTCGTCTTATTCATTATTTTTAAAAGGAATTTGCAAGGTCATGGACATGCATCTCGAACCACGTCACAATCAATGTACCCGTGATTAGCGACACATTTCGACTCCGTTAAGATTTGGATTTGGATCACATAAATGTGCACCCGAATTTAAGGAGGTAAATTATTAAAGTACGCGCCTAAAGAGACTAACGCGCGGTTGTTTTGGGAAAAGGCCGCGAAGTTCGCTAAGCGGCCGATCTCGAGTTCTAAGTAATTAATACGTACATTTGTGAGGGCCCCGCAATCTGTGCGTTTCGCTAGGCGAGGCTCATCTCATTTATTTTGAAAGGACAATCCTAAAGTAACTACATTTTCTATTAAGTTCGTCTCTAAAATAAAAGAGAAGAGGTCCTAATTAGTTACATGTTTATAAGCTCGTGCCTCTTATTGTTTATTAGATTAAAACAAATGCAAACAGAAAATTGCAACAGAGCTTACTCAAGGGAGATTGTATTGTTCCTTATTCTATTAGTTAATAACACTAAAGTTGAGATTATGAATAGAACACGAGATTGACACCCAGTAATATCAAAACAAACTAACTATTCTTTGATTAATTTAAACTAACATTATTAGATGAATTGAACTATTGGAACCTGTTTCGTGGCATAACCTATTTGAAACTATTACACGACTACTGGAAAAAAAGAATTAACAACACTATATTTCAAAACTAGTAATCACAAACTAAGATTAATTACAATTGATATTCACATGTTTGTAGAAATAGATTCAACAGTCCAGTTTATGCATTCCAAAGTCATTCTAATATATGCTATGCGATATCAAGTGAACTACTGCTTATACATTAAATTAAACACAAAGAAACAGAAGACATTCAGAAATCCATTCCAACAACACTTTACTGCCTTTCCATTAAATTTGAGAGCTTTAGAACATGTACCTGGATAATAGAAATACAAGAAGATGAAGGAGCAGTCAGCAACAGTAGTAACACAGCAAAATACAGCAGCAGAAAGCCCAACACAGTAGCTTCAACACCTCAATCTAGAAATCCCAGCAACACGGAGAAAACTAGTAAAAATGGAGAAGAAAAATAGTCCGAAAATCTCTCTTTATTTTTTTCTTTCTAGCTTTGAACTCTCTATGGTGTTATTCCGCACTCAATATTTCAGAAAATTTGGTTCTATCTTTTTTACTCTCTCCAAAATGAATTCAGTCCCTGTATATCCAGTGTATCCAGAGTGTATATCGAGTGTATACCGCTCTCTCCGCCCCCTCTTTTTTTCTTCTCTCTATCTAGTTTTTCCTATTTTTTGAACCCCCTTCTTCCTAAATTTTCTCTTCTATTTATAGCAAAATTTTTGAAATTTTCAGATTTGTTTTTTTTAATTAAAAGAAATCTCACTTACAAATTGCTTTTATTTTTTTAGAAAAAAGAAATCCCACCTTTATTTACTTTAATTTTTAAAATTTCAACTTTAATTACTTTTATCTTATTTAAAATCCCACTTTTTATTTTTTTAAAAGTGAATCTCACTTTATTTAACTTTTCTTTAAAAAAACAAACCACTATCTTTTCCTTTTCTTTTAAAAATGCTACTTTCAATTACTTTAAATTTTTTAAATTTTCAGATACCTTTATATTTATTTTTTAATTCCAACCTTCTTTTACTTTTTAATTTTTTTAAAATTTCCACAAAACTTTTTATTTTTTTAAATTTTCTACATTCTTTTACTTTTTTTAAAAGAGAATTCCACCTATTTTTACTTTTATTTTTTTTATTCAATACTTCCCTTTTTCTTATTTTTTAAATCAATCCCGAAATTATTTTTTTTAAAAAAAATTAATAAATAAATATTTTCGGATTTTTTATATAAAAAAAATAATAAAAAAATATTAATAGTGATAATTCACCTTTTAATTTTTTTTGGGTATTTTTATCCTATAATAAAAAGTGTAATAAAGCTAAAATAATAGTAGGTTAAAACCCCCTTAAATTTTTACATAAAAGAAGTGATAAAAAATTAAATGTTGCCAAAAATTAGGTGTTCACAACTGCCCTCTTTGCTCGAAAACATGAAGAGCTTTCGGGCAAAAATAAAGTGAACAATGTGACTAATTTTTGATCATATCGTTATTCAAAAGAGGAAGAAAATAAAAAAGGAAAGGCACAATCGAGTCCTGGTTTTGAACATCATACATATCCCTGGTTATAAGGGAATCAGGTCGCATGTAGTTCAGAAAGTTTTGGTAGCTGGGACTATCATGGGATTGCGATGTTATTGTTACTGTTGTTGCATGTTGTTACCACTGCTTTTCGATCTCCTTATTACACAATTGCTAGAAAGAAAACAAGAAGTTATACTAAGCTATGATCTATGAATTACAAAGATTTATTCTCGAGCTTGGTCATATGATTGTTGCTGCTTTGTTGCTTTGTGTTTCCTCTGGTATTTCTTTACTTCTAGCTCGACTTGTGGTCTTCCTTCTGATTTTTGCTGGGGATTTTTGTTGTAACCCTCTGCTTTACTGACTCTAAACTTCAATGTATTCCCCTATTCTGCAAGTGGGCTCCTGACTCCACCTTGATTTTTGAAAGATGACACAACCTCCATTCTCCAGGCGGGCTCCTGACTTCTTCAACAATCTTAGAATTTAA